TTTGGAAGTGTACTGTAATGGTAACCACTTTATGTACTAGTATGGTCAATGGAAAAAAATAGATATTTAACTAACTTCATTATTGCAAAACTAAGATAAACAGTTTGTGTAGTAGTGTGATGAATAGAAAATCACAGACATTCAGCTGCCTTAATTCTTGCAAAACTAAATGACGGTAAACAGTGGGATGAATACAAAAACCTTTCAGCATTATAGTTCAATATTATTTGTATATATATATAGGAAACTAATAGTAAAGTTAAATAAAATTGAAATTAAATAATTCTCTAGTGCCATTGCTGTGAGGAATGAAATTTGAATTTAACAAATATTCTATCATTCATATAAAGCTAATTTATATTTAAATTATGAAAATTCAATGTGTACGAGTAATATTAATCATTGCTGCGAACTAATTTGTAATATCATTCAAATTCAGAAAGCATATGTAAATTAAGTGCAAGTATCTAAAAACATGAAAAAATATTTAATAATCCAAAAAATTAATAGTAAAAATTTGAAAGAATTTTTTAAGACTAAATTTATTTGCATAAAGTGAATAATTGTTGAGTAGGCAGGAGACAGATCTTTTTAAGAGGAAGTGGCCTCCAAACCTAACTTTTCAATTACTCAATTCATGTTTCGTCATCCATATAGGCATGGGTAAAGAATTATTCAAAACCAAATGTAGTGAATTGCTTAAATAAGAAATTTAATTCTAAAAGAATTTTGAGAAATTTAGTAAGCAAATCAACTAGAAAACAAATTTATTACAGTCAAAAGTCGTTAATTCGGACACCCATAATTCGGAATGATCTATAATCCGGACTTCAAAACTAAAAACTTTTGCGCATGCGCCGCGTTGACACATGCGCAGAGGCGTTTCACGCCGTGCGCGTAAGACCTCTTACGAATGCGCATATGAGTGTGCGCAAGTGCAGAATACGTTTAGCGTGCGCATTTTATGTATAATGGACGTATAAGCTAAAATTATCTAATTATCTATTTCAGTTAATGTTGATGATTGCGTTGTTCCTTAATTTCGAATTGCATCCGGCTTATTTTTTGCAGACTGTTAAGAGCAATTTTATAAGGTAAGCTTAAACTTTCGATATATCAAATAGAATTTCCGATATATATTTGTTAATATGTAAAGGATCTAAAGCGAAAGTATGTTTTGAAATCCGAAATCTGTTTATCAATTTCACGCTGCTCGGCGGCGGGCGCGTAATGAATTGGAAGTTGATTTGTCAGCACTATCCTTATCTTCAGCGCAGATGTTTTTATTTTATTTGGCTTATAATTCCTTACCTAAATGTTAGTATTTCATCTCGATATCCGTCTTGATATGATTTAAAACAAGTTCCTCGTCATTATAATTCGCTTCCGATAGCGAAGAAAGAAAGTGACAGAGGTTATTGAAAACAAAAAAATTTCGATTGACAAATTAGTCGGTATTCTGACACAGCAATTATAGGACTTGAACGGCGGAACTTTGTAACTGAACAAGAAATTATGTCTGTTTAATAGAATTAAAGAGAAAGTATTATCACATGAAACGAAAGCAAAACTTAAAACAACTTACATTGAAGAAATGTTTAATAAAGTAAACAATAAATATTAAGCTTTTTCTTTTTGTAAATTTTGATACCCGTTTAGATCATAATTGTTCTTTATTTCATAAATTACGGTTTCATATTTTTAATTTTAGTAATTTCTGCATGCCATCTTACCGAGATTTAAACTGATTATCTATAATCCGGAAAAATCGATAATCCGGAATCGCCGAAGTCCCGACGAGTCCGGATTAACGACTTTTGACTGTAATTAAAAGTACATTGCTAAAGTAATTAAGAGTATAAATCCAAAGTAATTTAGAAACCCTTGCCTGTACTGGTACTTCCTCAACAGGAATTATGCATGTAAACCAAAATAAACTAAATAAATACAATCTATAAAAATAATACAAAAAAGGCAAGTAAATAGTGAGTTTTAATTTAACTTACCTTGTAACTATTAATTTTTGCAAGCAAGAGAGTGGAGTAGCATTTGCTAAACAAAGTGAGATTGAGCAGTTTATTTCTGCTAACTGTGTAAATAGAGGGCACTTATACTATGTAAAGTTGAGTGAGTTGCTATTGTAAAAACATAGCTGCAAACTCTAAAGTAATGTAAAATGCTTGTTCTGCGCGATAGGATTGTAAAAATGTAAGTGAAAAGTGATGTTAATGTTCCCGTAAATGTTTCCAAATTTTGAAAGAAAGTTCGAAAATTTTTTTGAAATGAAGTTTGAAAAAGAATCTAATGTAATTTAATTAAAAGTTCGAAAAAAATTTTTAAAAATTTCATTGAAAAATTGATTTTTTTATAACAATTTTATTAGAAGAAATTCTTTGAATTTAAGTAAATTTGTTAAAACTAAAGTTCAACAATAGTTAATCGAAACTTGATACTTGCCAAAGGTAAGGAAAATTTAAAAAAGATCAAAATCTTCACTCAGTTCAGGTTATAATTGGAACTTTTGAGAAGAGCTGGCCCTTCATTAATAAAAAGGAAAAAATCCAGTTTTGATTCAGAGAAATATACATATTTACAAGAATTAATCCATTAACTCAATATTCCCCAATACCCTTCAGTTAAGGTTTAAGGTAATGTTATCATACCGTAAAGAGTAAAAAAATGAAATAAAAAAGTTAATGCTTGCCTTTTTAATATAGAAATTAATAAATTGCATTGGGACCTGGTTATTTACTTGAACAGTAATTATTTCTTCATTGAAATCTTCTATTTCAGTATGTATATTTTTTATTCTATATTTTAATCTTTATTTTTTATTCATTATTATTATTATTTCTAAAAAAGTAAAATTTTAGTATACTTTTTTAGATATTCGAGTTCCAATTTATTCGTTTGATAGTCCAAATGAATCCCTCTTTTATCATATAATTAATTTTGCTGTGTTTAATTTTAGCGGTCAAGGTATTCATATTACTTTCATCGTATGTTCGATTAAACTATCTAGGTAAATTTTGAATTGTCAATAGCTGAATCATTGTTGAAAGGTATAATATCACCAGTTTATCTAAAAGTATTTGCAAATAACTTTAATTCATTTTTCTAACCTAGTTGGAATTTATATTCATTAGCAAAAAGAAATAGATTACATATTTGTGTAATACTGTTTGCTCCCACTGGAATTCTTTTTCAATAATAAGATCACCAGCTGAAAGGTCTTATTATTGAAATTAATGTAGTTATTAAATAATGCACAATGCAAGTATGTTTTCCATCTGTCAATTCAGAGAGTACTTTTAAATTTATTGAGAACTGAATTGTTATTATAAATAATCCAACAATATTTTTGCTGCTTGTTAACTAGTTGATGAATTAAAATGCAGATTTTCTTAAGAGTAATTGCAAAGATGTAATCTATATTCTTTTTATAATTATTTGTACCATTTATGAAATTTATGAAATTTATTTTGATGCTGAAATTATTTCCGGCTTTGTCAGTTTTGGTAATTCTGAATTTTTGTTTCAAATCTTGCATTAGAGGACTGAGAAAATTCAATGGTAAATTGCTGTTAAATTCAATCCTTTGAATTCTTTGCTTCATTTCTTCAAGCACTTGAACTTTTCAAGCCAAGAATTGGAATATTTAAGTTGTAACTAGTTTTTACTATGAACTCGTCGAGATTTTTTTCGAAACTTCCAAAACTGTGATTTTTGCCAGTTTTCAGTACTGGTCTAAATTTTGTGCCTTTTTACATTAAATTTCTTAAATGCTGGTTTTGAACTATTGTTAAATTCCCAGTAATAATATGTTTATGAAACTGGTCTACGTAGTCTTTATATTGAGGTTCTTTGCAGCATCAATGGGTAGTAGAAGCTAGATCATGGTGGTTAATTAGCAATTTGCTAAGAGGTTTTTAATACTTGAAAGCTTATTGTACTAGGTTAGTTTTAGATACTTACAGAATGGTTTTAACTTTCAAATTTACCATTTTAGGTAAACAGTTCTAATTTAATTAAAAAAATTCTCTTTATTTAAATCTAAAAATTGGATTTCTTAAGTGGTTCTAAATCCACACTAATATTATTGCAATACATGTCGTATTAAACTTTCCATTTTTAGTCATTGTACTTGTTATTGGTAGAGAATTTAAATTTGTGAAAATCTAAAATGAGGTCTTTAATTATATTTTGTCTTGTAAATTGCAGCTTAACGAAATTTATAAGTTTCATTAAGAATTTGTGCATACAAGTATGCAACCATGTAATGAAATTTTCAGTTAAAAAGAAGTTATTAATATTGTCATTTAACTTTGCAGTATCTATTAGTAAATAATTTATTTTGATGTTTATTACTTGCCCTAGTTCCTCGTAATGTTTTTTTGTTGAATAATTTAAAATGGCTGTAAGTTGGAACTTCAGAATTTAATTGATTGTGTTGGTTGAATGTATTTAGTACATATGTGTAAAGTGTTTTGAATTTAAGCATGTATAGTGACTCTTGAAATAATCTTTCTTTGTATTTAGGAACAGTGTCCAAAATTTGAATAATAATCTTGCTGAAATCATGTATTTAAAAACTTTCTAATTCCGCTGTAATACGTGATAAAACTAGCAGTGCTTTCTGAATTTGAATGATATTGCAAATTAGTCCACAGCAATAATTAATCCTTTATTTGTGTACAATTGAATTTTCATAATTTAAATTAGCTTTATATGAATGATAGAATATTTGTTATAGATATATATGTATATATTATTTTTATGCTTTTAAAATTTAGCTCTTGCTGTTAATATAAGTAATCTTTATTTTCTTAATTCCAAGCTGTTATCTTTTTCCAAATAAATTTTGCTTTTGTAATTGTATTTCCTCATAATCACAAAAATTAATTTATTTGTGTAAACATTGTGTGTTAATACAAATTATTCTGAAATTACTTTGTAAACAAAAAAAAGGGCTAATTTTATTTTTTTTATCTTTGCCCAAGGGTGATGGAGAAGAGGAAGTCATTGCATGTGCGTGGGATGGGCAGACATATATGGTAAATCAGCAGCGCCAGTCTGTTAGGTTTCAGTTTGATGAACCTGTCAGTGCTTTCAATTCTGGTAATTCTTTTTAAAACTAAAACTTGTATTGCTTATATTATATACACTACAACAGTCAGGGAATATATTAAAAAAATTATATGGTATGATTCTGGTTAGTATACTCTAAGCATCATTACACCATTGTTAATGGTAGCAGTTAGTCATAAATTTAAATGGTTAGCCAAAACTAGGTATGTGTTGCAGTGTAGTATTGTGATTTATATTAAGATCTGAGGTTTTAATGTAATTTTGCGTAAATAATATATCCATCTGTAAAGGTTCATTGCAACTTTTGTATATCTTGTAATTATATAATCAATGTGTAGTGACATATTCAATGTGAAATTACTTAACATTATTGTAAAGAATATCTATGAAATGTTTCATTCGGCCAACTTCTAGTGCAGGCTGACTGTGTATCCAGTAATGCAGTGTAGCAATGCCTGTAAAATCAGGGACGAAGTTCTGGTGCTCCGTTTACTTTTCCCTGTCTCTGTAAATGAAATCGATTATAAATTTAACCTTAGGATGCTGAAAATCACTTGAAAGTTTCTGGCCGGCATATGCTTATGATAGTTTAAGAATTCTATTCCTGAAGACTCTGAATTCAAGAATTTTATTCCTGAAGGCTGTTTGTGAAATGAAATGTTCATAAATCGAAACAATTTGCACCTTAGGAAAAAGCGTAAAATGGACTCAATAGTTTGTTGACCACAGATAATTGCTTATTGTGAGCTTTTATTTAGTTCTCTCATGGTGTTTTACTATGAGTTGGATTCTGTCGATTTTTAACCGAGTTTTTGATAAGTGCTGAGTTAAAATTTTTTACATCCACTGTTGGTTAATTCGATTTAGATTTGTTTCTATTTTAATGTTTAAACGATTTTTTGCATATCATTTAATGAACAAACTAAGAATATCAGAATTTTACTGTTTGCGCCGTCAAATAGAGTAGAAAAAAATTCTTTTCGATGACACTTATATGAAAATTGTAACTTAATTTCTGAATTTTCGGCAAACTTTTGAAAATTGCTCGATTTTTTTTAAAAGACTATTTGACGTTTATGATTTAAAAATTTTGGCATCTAAAAATTCACCGAATGTAGAGTTTATAGATTTCCACAACTTATAAAACAAATTCTTTTACTCTCTTGTAAAACAAGACTGATAAAAAGTATTAATTGAGCAATTTTCGCTGTCTGAAGAAGACAAAAAAGCATTTCTGCTGGAAGAATTGCTTTGGAGTTTGCCATCTTGGCACATTTAATGACAAAGTTTGCCATCTTAGTGCACTTAATGATTAATTAGCAATATTCATTTTTTCAGTTCGGCTTCAAGTAAAATGCTTGTTATAACATCGTTACTACATCCAATTTCCAAAACTTCATAGCTTTTTTTTTTTTTATAATTTATTGCTTGTGTTTTAATAATGACTACAAACTTCATCATTGTTAATGTAATTGAGAATAAAAAACAGAAAATGAAACACAGTTAAGCAAATACTTTTATACAATAACTTTTTATTTAAAATTGATGTGTTAGTTAATGCATTGAAAGGATAATAAATAGCTTATCATATATCTATCATTATCTATTAATAGGAATAATAGATTAAATAGGTTTATTTACAGATAACATCTATAATTTTATATCATGAATAATAAAAGCTTGGATTACCCATAATAAATTAAAGATAATTACCTAAATATTTGACAATGCAAGTAAATAAATAGATTTTCTTCTTTAGGTGCCATACGATTTCATTATCAAATAAAGTAGAAAAAAATCTTTTCAATGAAACTTTTATGACTTGAAACTTCATTTCGGCGCTTTTGGAGAATTTTTGAAAACCGCTCGATATTTTTTTTAGAATATTTCATGTGTATAATTTTAAAATTTTGACATCTAAAAATGTATTGTATATAAAGTTTCAAAATTTTCATAGATTTTAAAACACACTTTTTGTATTTTTTTAAAACAAGAATGATAAAGAAATATTAATTGAATGATTTTCTACTTTTTTTACTTCCTTGTATCAAGTAAAAAGGAAGTATTGTAATCGCGAAAAGTTTCAGGCAACATATTTCAACGAAAATATCCATTTTGACCGCTATCGAATGCAATTTAACGATGTCTTTGCGTGATATCTGTACATAAGGACAGAATAAAAGACTCTTTTCCTCCAAAAAAATTATAAAACTGCTTTAAAATTAATTCTGAAGAGAATTTTTCATGGTGTCTGTACGAATGTATGTACGTATGTTACGAAGCGAATAACGATACTAATGCGTAGTTCGAAAGGCTAGTAATAACTTGACTATTCTTGTTCGAACGCTAATTTTGTTTCGACGAATATGCATCAGTGGTAAATTTGATCTTGATTTGGATACAAAATATTCATGACGATATCTTTCATTTATATTTAATGAAAACACCAAAATATATCACAGCAATACACATACATCGCAATGGCGAACCACAGTTACATAATGTAAAAAAAACAGAATTCTTTGGCGCAACAGCGCCCTCTATACTATGAAAAGTTCAACACACCCCACTGTAAAGACATAATGGCACATTCTTTGGCGCAACAGCGCCTCTATACTATGAAAAATACACCACCCACTGTGCTCTTTTAAGAGCATTAAATTTACATATGAATAAATATTTAGATATAATCAAAATCAATATGCACGAATTAATACTGAAAACTACATTGCAAATTAAATACAATACATGAAACAAACATATATATATAACTTTAAACTTCAAAAGGATAGATTAATTGGACGGGTCTTCGATAAAGTCCTTGAGAAGTACGAATCAAACATGAACGCACATACCCATCCCTACCTTTATAAACTTCTTCTATAATTCCAATAGGCCATAAAAATTTTGATTTCGTCGACCCCTCCAGCAATACAACCTCACCCTTTTTAAGATTCCTTTCAGGAGATGGATTTAGAAAAGTATGCGCAGACCGTAATTCGAGGAGATAATTCTCCTTCCACTTTTTCCAAATTTGTTTCAAAAGATTAGTTTGATACAGTTTTCTCCTAGTCAAAGTCTGCCTGTTCAATGGTTCATTCCTGAAAAGGTCGGCGAAATGTACAGGATAAGAAATATTTTCTTGCCCTGGAAACAAGAAATGGGCAGGTGTAAGAGCTTCTGGCTCTTTTATTTCATTATGGACATAAGTAAGAGGTCTATGATTTAAAACTAACTCAATTTCTGATAGAATAGTCATCATTTCCTCAAAGTTAAGAAGAGCCCTTCCGAGAACCTTTCTCAAAGGATCTTTGATACTTTTCATAAGCCTTTCATAAAAACCACCCCACCAAGGCGCGTGAGGCGCAATATATTGCCAAGTTATGCCGTTTATTGATATGAAATCTTTCAATTTTGAATCTATTATAATTTTTGCTAATTCTTTAAGAATTTCATTAGTGGCTCTAAAGCTCTTAGCATTGTCGGAAATGATAACTTTACAATTTCCTCTCCTAGCTAAAAATCTCCTTAATGACAAAATAAAAATTTTTTGTTGACATATTTGTGATTAATTCTATGTGCACAGCTCTAGTAACACTGCATGTAAATAATGTTATGTAAGCCTTTTGAGGCGTATCCTTTCCTGATTTTTATCAAAACTGGGCCAGTGAAATCTATGCCAGTTACAGTAAAAGGAGGGTTTTCAGTAATTCTACATTTAGGTAGTTGACTAGTTATTTGTTTAGCTGGTTTCAACTTATACTTTCGACAAATTAGGCAGTTACCTAATACTCTTTTTATAATTTGTCTACCTCGTGGAATCCAAAATCTAGACCTAATTTTGGCTAGCGTAAATGTAACTCCACCATGAAAAATTTTATTATGTTCTCGAATAATAATTAACTCTGTAAATTTAGACTGCTTAGGAAGAAGTATAGGATGAGCTTCATCCTTTGTAAACGCTCCTTGTTCTAACCTTCCTTTTATGCGCAATACACCACAACTGTCGAGAAATGGGGCTAAATTCGAAAGTGGTGGAGAGTTTTTAGGAATCGATTTACCATTTTTAAGGTTCTGCAATTCTAAGTTGAACTCTATGTTTTGCTCATGTTTTATCCAGTCTATTTCAGCATTTTGAAGTTCTTCTGCTGTGAGGGGACCTGCAATCGTTTGTCGTTTTTTGAAGTTTATTAACAAACCGTTTAACTAGTGCAGTTACTCTTAGTACTTTTAACAAACAACTATATTTCCTTAAATCTAAAATAAATTTCGAATTTTCTACCAAACAGTTATTTTGCACTGTACTTTCAAATTCTTTTTTTAGCTCTAAGTCTACGTCTGTAGATTTTAAGTTCTCTCTTTCAGTAGGCCAGTATTCAGGTGATTGGCTTAGCCACGGTGGACCGTTCCACCAAAGATGGTTTGTAGCTAAATTTGCTGCAGAAATTCCTCTGGACAAGATATCTGCAGGGTTATCCTTACCAGGGCAATGAGCCCAATTATTGGTATCTGATAAAGATTGAATTTCTTCTATTCTATTTTTTACGAAAGTTTTGTATTTACTAGCTTGTCCCTTAATCCAACATAATGTAATCATCGAGTCGGTCCAAAAATAACTAGAAGTATTAAATTTAAGACATTTACTTACTTGATGGACTAATCTTGCGGACAATAAAGCTCCCATTAATTCCAGTCTTGGTAATGTAAGACCTTTCAGAGGAGCTACACGACTTTTAGAACAAATAAAACTGATACTTATCCTCCCCCTATCTTCAGATATAGCTCTTAAATACAATACAGTTCCATAGGCTAAAAGAGATGAATCTGAAAAAGAATGGAATTTCAAATGAAATAAATTTACAGTTCAAATTTGAAAAATAACATCTAGGAATCTGGAAGATCTTCTAAGTGTTCGATTTCACTGCACCACAACTGCCACTTGTGATCCAGTGACGATGGAAGTTTATCATCCCAGTCTATGTCATGACTCCACAGTTCCTGTAGAATGCACTTCAGCTTTATGATGAAAG